GTAATTTCCTGTCATGTCGTGGCTGGTACCCTTACCGTTAATTAAAAATAATGATGTTAGAGAACAACAGACTGAATAAATGACTACTGATGACACACCGAAAACAAATTGCCTGATATTTCCATCCCTGATGTATTGTAGATAATTAAGAAAAGAGTAACTTAGTATAGAATACTGTGATGCACAGTAGCATCATGGCAGAAACAGGTGGTGGTATGTGCAGGGATAGACATGAAGACAGATGAGATACTTCAGAAGGGAGAGGTGCAAAAACTTGTCTTACACAGTCTTCCCTGAAAATATATTCCTTTCATTTTCTTGCAGTAAAGTGTGTGTATGTGTGTTTGTGTGTGTGTGTGTGTGTGTGTGTGTTTCGGCTTATCTGTTACTATCAGATCCATCTAATATATGCAAGATTAATAGTATTTTCTTTAATTTTCTGCAAGGTTGCCTCCATTTTATCAGGACCACAATATGGAGAAAGTCACACATTGACAGATTCTGATGTAAAATGGTTCCTTTTCAGGGACAAATCCAGTTTTTTTTTTATTCTGCACTGTTCGAGGGAAACTTGTGCACATGTTCTTGAGACTAAGGCACCAATAATGTGGAATGACAGGCCTGTCACTGAATGTCACTATTGTATGATATTTCCTGTAGCAGGTTATAAAGAAGCCTGGCATGTGACACTGACCCCAAGTCTGCGAAACTAACTGATATTTGTTTGGATCTCCAATAATACGCTCCCTGCCACGGGCTAAAGAACCCAATGGTTCTGCATGATGGTGGAGCTCTAAGATGTGACTGCTGTTTATGAAGATGAGTCTGGAGCTCCTCTGATCTCTGATCAGTAAGACACAAAAAAGCTGAACGCAATTAACCTATGAGTTCAAAGAGATGAGCTGGAGGGGAGAAAATAAAGAGTACACCGGCATGAAGATAAGGGAATGGAGAAAGAGAGAGTGTAGGGGCCACACTGCCCTCAGCAAAGACAAACTCACAGCAGAGATGCAGCTCAGCTGTAGGACGGTTTAGAGAGATTGACAGTTGGCGTTGTACATAAGAAACCTTCCTAGTATTCAGCAATCGTGGGTGCCATGGAGCATTGTATTTAACTGTTTTTGTTTATGTTACGAGCTCAGAGTGCTGCGCATTGTGCCATGACTCATGAGCAGATTTCGGTGAGTGAGGCGAAAGGACATGCATGTGTCACAGCAGAACTGAAGTGCTCTCACACACAATAATTTCTCAGCATGAACGCTTCATTGCTCAACACTTATCAGATAGTATAGGAGGATTTTTTTATAAGCACAAATCAGCACAGTATCGGACCAGTACCTGATTTCCAGTATTGGTATTGATGCATCCCTAATACTACTACTACTACTAATGGTACTACTGCTATTGCTATTGTTGCTGCTGATGCTACTGTTGCTAACTACACTGTTTAACGTGGCTACAGTTGCTGCTGCTGCTACTACACTGCTAGTGCTGCGCTGCTACTACTGTTGCGCTGCTATGCTACTACTACTGTTGCTACTACTGCTGCTGCTGCTTCGCTGCTGCTGCTACTGTTGCTGTATTAGCTACTGCTGCTGCTGTGGTTGCGCTGGCTGGCTATGCGCTATTGCTGGCTATTGCTGCTGCTGCTGTGGCTACTTACGGTTGGCTGCTACTGGGTTGTGCGCTGTTACTAGTGCTGCTATTGCTGCTACTACTGCTGCTACTGCTTGCTACTGTTGCTACTGCTGCTGCTGCTGCGCTGGCTATTGCTACTGCGTTGTTGCTGCTGCTGCTGTGCTGCTGTTGCGCTGCTGGGCTTGGTTGCTGCTATGCTGCTGCTGCTGCTGCTTTTGCTCGCTGCTGTTGCTGCTAGGCTGCTGCTGCTGTGTGCTGCTATTGCTGCTGCTGCTGCTGCTGTTGCTGTTGCTGCTGCTGTGTTGCTGTTGCTGCTGATTGCTGCTGTTGCTGCTGTTGCTGCGCGCTGCTGCAGTATTGCTGCTGCTGCTGCTGTTGCTGCTGTTGCTACTACTACTGCTGCTGTTGCTATTGCTGCTACTGCTTACTGCTATTGCTGTTGTTTTTTTGGTTTTTTTTTCTATTGCTGCTACTACTGTTGTTACTATTGCTACTGCTATTGCTGCTATTACTGCTGCTGCTATTGTTGCTACTGTTGCTGCTACTGCTACTGCTGCTGCTACTGCTACTGCTGCTACTGTTTTACTGTTGCTACTGCTACTATTGCTGCTGCGACTGCTACTGCTGCTGCTGCTGTTGCTGCTATTGCTGCTGCTGCTGCTACTGTTCTGCTGCTGCTACTGCTATTGCTACTGCTGCTGCTGCTGCTGCTGCTGCTGTTTCTGCTCTGCTGCTGCTACTGCTACTGTTGTTACTGCTGCTACTACTGCTGTTGTTCCTGTCATCACTACTGCTGCTATTGTTGCTGCTACTGTTGATACTGTTGCTGCTATTGCTACTGTTGCTACTATTGCTGCTATTACTGCCACTACTGCTGCTATTGCTGCTATTGCTGCTGCTGCTGCTATTGTTGCTATTGCTGCTGCTGATTGCTACTATTGCTGCTGCTGCTGCTATTGATTGCTACTATTGCTGCTGCTGCTGCTACTGCTGCTGCTGCTGCCACTGCTACTGCTGCTGCTACTGCTGTTTCCACTGTTACTACTACTACTGTTTACTGTGCTACTGCTGCTACTGCTGTTGCTGGTGCTGCTGCTGCTTAGCTGTTGCTACTGCTGCTGCTGCTATTGCTGCTGCTGCTGCTACTGCTGCTACTGCTGTTTCTGCGCTGCTGCTGCTGCTGTTACTGCTGCTGCTGCTGCTGTTGTTCCTACTCATCACTGCTACTGATTGCTGCTGCTACTGGTGCTGTTTGCTACTGTTGCTGTGTTGCTGCTGTTCGCTGCTGCTACTACTGACTGTTGCTATACAACATGCTGACATTGCTACTACTTACTGCTGCTGTTGCTCTGCTGTTGTTGCTGCTGCTGCTGCTTTGTGTCACTGTCACTGCTACTGCTATTGCTACTGCTACTATTGCTGGTCTGCTGCTACTGCTGCTGCTGCTGCTGCTGCTGCTGCTGCTGCTGCTGCTGCTGCTGCTACTACTGTTGGCTACTGCTGCTGCTGTTGCTACTGCTGGTGTGCTACTACTGCTATTGCTACTTGCTGCTGTGCTGTTGCTACTATTGCTCACTGCTATTGCGCTGCTGTGGTGTGCTTTGCTACTGCTACTGCTACTGCTACTGCTGCTGCCTGCTATTGTTACTGCTGCTGCTGCTACTGGTGTTCCTGCTCATCATCCTGCTGCTGTTGCTACTGCTGCTATTGATAGCTATTGCTACTATTGCTGCTACTGCTACTATTGCTACTACTGCTGCTAGTAGCTGCTATTGCTGCTATTGCTACTGCTACTGCGCTGTTGCTGCTACGACAACGACGAGCTGCTGCTACTGCTGCTGCTGTTGCTGCTGCTGTTGATTGCTACTACTGCTGCTATTGCTACTATTGCTACTGCTACTGCTACTGCTACTGTGTGCTGCTGCTGATTGCTGCTGCTGTTGCTGCTGTTGCTGCTGCTGCTGCTGCTGCTATGGCTGCTGCTACTGCTGCTGCTGCTGCTGCTGCTGCTGGTGCTGCTGCTGTTGCTGTTGCTACTGCTGCTTGTTGCTGTGATTGCTGATTGCTGCTGTTGCGCATACTGCTACGGTGCTGCTGTTGCTGCTGTTGCTACTGCTGGTGCTGCTGCGCTGCGCTGTTCATTGCTGCTGCTGCTGCTGCTGCTGGTTACTGCTGTGCTGATTGCGTCTACTTTGCTTTGCTCTTTGCTCTCTCTTTCTCTTTTCTTTTTTTTTGTTTTGTTTTTTTTTTTTTTTTTTTGCCACTGCTACTGCTGATTGCTACTGATTGCTGCTGCTGCTGCGTGCTGTTGCTACTGCTGCTGTTGCTGCTATTGCTGCTGCTACTGCTGCTGTTGTTGCTGCTATCCTGCTGCTGCTGCTGCTACTGCTACTACTATACTTGCTACTTGCTGCTGCTGCTGTTGTACTACTGCTGCTGCTTTGTTGCTGCTTATACTGCAACTACTGTTACTGCTATCTTACTGCTATACTGCTGTTGCTATCTACTACTGATTCTTGCTGCTGTTCCTGCTGCTGCTGCTGCTGTTGCTGCTGCTACTGTTACGCTGCTGCTGCTGCGCTGTTTGTGCTATTGCGCTACTTAACTGCTACGTTGCGCTACTGCTGCTGACGATACTACTGCTACTGCTGCTACTGTCTGTGTTGCGCACTACTGCTGTTGATTGCTGCTGCTGCGCTGCTATTGTTTCATATTCATGCTATTGCTGGTGTTACTGCTGCTGTTGCTGCTATTGCGCTGGCTGCTAACTACTACTACTACTGTTGCTGTTTGCTGTGACTGCTGCTATGCGCTACTAGTTGCTCTGCTGCTTTGACTACTGGCTCGCTGCTGTTGCTGCGTCCTGCGCTACTGTTGATTGCTGCTACTGCTGTTGCATTTGCTGTTGCTGCTGTTGCTGCTGCTGCTTGCTGTTTTGCTGCTGCTGCTGCTGCTGCTACTGCTACTGTTGCTGCTGTTTGCTACTGTTGCTGCTGCTGTTGTTCCTGCTTATGCTACTACTGCTGTTGCTGCTGCTGCTACTATTACTACTATTACTACTACTACTACTATTACTACTACTACTACTAATACTACTATTACTACTATTACTACTACTACTACTATTACTACTACAACAACAACTACTACTACTACTACTACTACTATTACTACTACTATTATTACTACTACTACTACTATTACTCCTACTCCTACTACTACTATTACTACTACTACTATTACTACTATTACTACTACTACTACTACTACTACTATTACTACTACTACTACTATTACTACTACTACTACTACTACTACTATTATTACTACTACTACTACTAATAATAATAATAATAATAATGGCAATCGTAGCTCAGTGGTTAAGGCAGTGGACTCCTGATCGGAAGGTCGTGAATTCAAACCCCAGCTCTACCAACTTGCCACTGTTGGGCCCTTGAGCAAGCCCCTTAACCCTCAACTGCTCAGTATAAAACGAGATAAAATGTAAGTTGCTCTGAATAAGGGCGTCCGCCAAAAACGCCATAAATGTAATAGAGTTTAGATGATACATTATGTGCTAATACATAACAATAGTACTAGGAGTGTAAACCTTCAAACAATACAATATGATATTTCTAGTCTTTAATCAGTATCTATTGATGTAGAGAAGGACTATTTTATGTATCAGAGTTATAAATAAGTCACTTTTCTAGCCTGTTTGCACTTTTTTTTACACACCAGTTGTCTGTGACATAGACATACTCAATAGGTTAGGGTTAGCATCTAACTAGATGTCCTTGTAAAAACTCACACACAGAGCTCTCAACCAAACCGTTCACAAACATATAGCTGCTAAAGTGTTCGGTTTTTTTAAGGATCTTGGAGATAAAGGTGAAGCGTGATATTGTTTTATAATTTAATCATTTATGGTAGACTAGTTTAGGTTTCTTATTTAATGAGTTGATCATTGTTAGTTTAAAAGTTTTTAGTTATTCTGAGGATGAGAATCGTAGCATGTCCCTGATCTTTCCTTATCTGGAAAGATGAAAATTCTTTAATGCTTGTCATCTGAAACCTGGCCCATTATCCTGAAATCCAGGGCAGTCCTGAATCAGAAGGATTTGAATTCATCTACACTCCTAGGACAAACCACTTGACAAGGTCAGATGTTGTTGAATTGTTGCCTCTGTTTCCAAATGAACCCAATCGAAGTAGATGTATCTTATCATTTATCACTTGGTAGCTCAGTGGTTGGACATCTAACCGGAAGGTTGTGAGTTCAAATCCCAGCACCTCCACTCAAGGCCACTGTTGGGCCCTTGAGCAAGGCCCCTAACCCTCAACTGCTCAGTTGTATAAATGAGATATATGTAAGTCGCTCTGGATAAGGGCGTCTGCCAAATGCTGTAAATGTAATGTAATGTAATCACTTTCTAATGATATCTTTATGGTTAGAAATATCTTGTAGATGAAATGGTAACGGAGCTGCTTCAGCAGTTCCAAGTTGCTACAAGTGTTCATGCATTAATGAAGCTGATGCCACTTCACAACATATTGTGCTGAAAGTGACACCTCGTTGCTTATTAGCGACTTTGCTGAATCTCCAGTAGCGCCTCATCAGTGGTCCTCTCACCCTCCTTGTAAGATTAAACAACAACATTCAGCAGTGTGATTTTATTATGCACTGTGAATATGCACTAGATCTTCTCAGAGTCTTTGAAATTGCCTTTATAGTCAGTTATATGGGTTTGTGAACTTTTAGATTATAAAGGTGCCTTAGATGAAGTCAATTACAGTGATGTAAATAAACCTCAGTTGAATGTGACTAGATGAAATAAGCCATCCATTGCAGGGGTGTAGAAATCATCACTTCCTTCGCTAGCCCAAGTGAAAGCTGTAATGTACTGCACAGTTCCATGGTATGCTTGCACAGAAGGCTAATTAATTAGGCTGAAAAATCAAATTATGTGTTTGGATACAGTCTATACAATATAGCAAGTGAATGCCTGGATGAGGAGACTTTATGTTGCCATAGCCTTTATCCTTTCCTGATGAAGACGTTAATAATTGCAATCTCGAACACAAAGTGAGGAAGAGACTTTGGGTGATATTTCTGCTGTGAGCTGTAGCGTTCTCTTATCAGATTTTATGTGAGCTAGGGTTTGAATTTTTGCTTGATGAACTGTTTTTAAATGTGCTGTGAGTTTTGTGCTAGCATTAGTGACACAGTATGTAATAATGTCTCTTCTGTAGTGTAGAATTGTTTTCTTTTCATTAAATTCCATTAACGCTACTTGATATGTTTAGTAAAACTTCAGACACAACGCAACTGCACACTTCAGACAAAACTCAACTGTACACCTCAAACAAAACATACCTGCACATCTCAAACAAAACATACCTGCACACCTCAAACAAAACATACCTGCACACCTCAAACAAAACATACCTGCACATCTCAAACAAAACATACCTGCACACCTCAAACAAAACATACCTGCACACCTCAAACAAAACATACCTGCACATCTCAAACAAAACATACCTGCACACTTCAGACAAAACGCAACTGCACACTTCAGACAAAACTCAGCTGCTCACTTCAAACAAAATGCAACTGCACACTTCAGACAAAACTCAAATGCACACTTCAGACAAAACACACCTGAACACTTCAGACACAACTCAACTGCACACTTCAGACAAAACGCAACTGCTCACTTCAGACAAAACGCAACTGCACACTTCAGACAAAATCCAACTGCACACTTCATACAAAACTCAGCTGAACACTTCAGAACGCAACTGCTCACTTCAGACAAAATCCAACTGCTCACTTCAGACAAAATCCAACTGCACACTTCAGACAAAACTCAGCTGAACACTTCAGACAAAACTCAACTGAACACTTCAGACAAAACTCAGCTGAACACTTCAGACAAAACTCAGCTGAACACTTCAGACAAAACTCAGCTGAACACTTCAGACAAAACTCAACTGAACACTTCAGACAAAACACAGTTGCACACTTAAAAAAACAAACCTACACACTCCAGATAAATGTTCCCACTAACAGCCAATCCAGAGTATTCTTGTGGGATTTGGAAAAGAGTGGAGATGCTTGGAGTAATGGAGCATTTGAATAAACAAACATTGATATTCAATAGAGAATTTTATTCACTGGGAAGGCTATCAGCGATCTCTGATGCCAGAACTTGTGCTTGCTCTCTCTCTCTCTCTCTCTCTCTCTCTCTCTCTCTCTCTCTCTCTCTCTCTGTCTCCATGTCTTTCTCTCCCTCCCCTCCTCCTCCACTTCTATCTTCTGTTGAAGCACATGGTGTGATCATGTTTCTCCTCCTCTACCTCCTCCCCTGTCTGGTCGACTGAAATCCAGTTCCTGAGATGTACACAACACACTCTGCTGAAAAGCATGGCCACTCACAGTACACATCTTCTACTCTCTTTTCTCTTCTTCCCCATATCTCCATATCTCCTGCTGTCTGTTTTATTCCGTCTTTTCTTTTATGTGTGTGAGAGTGTTTGTGATGTTTTGTGTTATGACATTTCACAATTGCTTACTTTCAAACAGCTGGCTGCTATTGAACGACTTCCTTTATATTTCACAGCCTTGGATTTTCAAAGAGCAGCTAGAATCTTTTGTCACTCATGTGGAGGTGCAAGTGTGACAAGCAGAGCGTGTTAATACAGCCTGAATATATTAGACGCATAATATATGGTCCCTGGCATTGTTGTCTGAATCACATGAGGGAGTGAGAATTCATTAGATAAATCTAGTGGAAAATTTACATCTGCACACCTTAAAACAAAGACACTTGCACAGCTCTAACAGTGCACGAATGAACACCTAATGCATATACAAACATACTCACCTCAGACAAAACACACATGCGTGCCTCCGATAAAACACATCTGCACGCCTCAAACTAAACCTACCTGCACACTGCAGACACAAACACATACACACCTCAGACAAGACACATGCATACCAAACAAAACACACCTGCATGCCTCAGATAAATCCCACAAGCACACCTCAAACAAAACACACCTGCATGCCTCAAACAAAACCTACATGCACACCCCATACGAAACATACCTGTACTCCTCAAACAAAACATACCTGCACATCTCAAACAAAACATACCTGCACATCTCAAACAAAACATACCTGCACACCTCAAACAAAACATACCTGCACACCTCAAACAAAACATACCTGCACACCCCAAACAAAACATACCTGCACACCTTAAACAAAACCTACATGCACACCCCAAACAAAACATACCTGCACACTTTAAACAAAACCTACATGCACACCTCAAACAAAACATACCTGCACACCTTAAACAAAACCTACATGCACACCCCAAACAAAACATACCTGCACACCTCAAACAAAACATACCTGCACACCTCAAACAAAACATACCTGCACACCCCAAACAAAACATACCTGCACACCCCAAACAAAACATACCTGCACATCTCAAACAAAACATACCTGCACACCTCAAACTAAATCTACCTGCACACTGCAGACACAAACACATACACACCTCAGACAAGACACATGCATACCAAACAAAACACACCTACATGCCTCAAACAAAACCTACATGCACACCCCATACGAAACATACCTGTACTCCTCAAACAAAACATACCTGCACATCTCAAACAAAACATACCTGCACATCTCAAACAAAACATACCTGCACACCTTAAAAAACATACCTGCACACCTCAAACAAAACATACCTGCACACCTTAAACAAAACATACCTGCACACCTCAAACAAAACATACCTGCACACCTCCAACAAAACATACCTGCACACCTCAAACAAAACATACCTGCACACCTCAAACAAAACATACCTGCACACTTCCAACAAAGCATACCTGCACACCTCCAACAAAGCATACCTGCACACCTCCAACAAAGCATACCTGCACACCTCCAACAAAACATACCTGTAGTCCTCAAACAAAACATACCTGTACATCTCAAACAAAACATACTTGCACACCATAACATACCTTCACACCGAGATGGAGCAGTGAGAGTCAGAATGCAAGTCAAGCAGGTTTTTATTGTCATCCCAACCATATCCATGTATACAGTGTGAAGTATATAGTTTGTAGTAAGCATAACGTTTAGAAGACAGCGGTCAGTGAGTTCAGTTCAAGTAAGGGATCTGAATAATTGTGGTGATTGGCAGGTGTTGAGGCGCCTGACCACCCAAGGTGAGAATCTGTTACAGAATCTAGCAGTAACAGCCCAGAAAATCTGGTATTATTTTCCAGACAGCAAGGGGGTACAGAGTGGGGGTGGGGAATTAGAGAAATCATTAGTAATAGCTTAAGAGAAATTAGGTTTTGTCTTGCTAATCACGCTGATTACACCTATT